GAAAGGCTTAATCAGCTAAAGTGGGCTTAATGCAAAAGTTTTCCATTGAAGTTCAGTGGAGAAAGCAGCCTATCCAACTGGTTACCCTCACCATTAAATCAAAAAGAATAATATCTGAAATAACAAACTCTTTAAATACAGCTGTTTCCGTTTTTTCATTCTTTAAAATGTTACCTGAATTGTGGCCATGTGGGACCAAATTTTCCTTCTCAGCTTAAGACAACTAAAAAAGTTTTGGATAAAATATATGAAGCAATGCTTTTCATACACTAGATAACAGTCACTGCAGGACAGGGGACCCTAACAGAAGGGAAATAAGAGGCAAGCCCAGTTTACTGACTGCAGAATTTATAGCCAACAGTGCAGGTAGAAGGAGGCCAGGTGCAGCCCAGTGATCTGAGTTGGTGACCGAGTTGAAAGTTAGGGAAACCAAGGCAGCTGGAATTCAGGGACAGGGTAGTAATAAGGAGAGGGCTTGGGGCACATGGGTGGATCAGTCGTTAAGCATCTGTCTTCAGCTCAGGTCATGGTCCCAGAGTCCTGGGATCGAGCCCCACATCGGGCTCCCTGCTCCACGGGAAGCCTACTTCTCCCTCTCCCACTCTCCCCACTTGTGTTCCCTCTCTCGCTGTGTCTCTCTCTGTCAAATAAATAAATAAAATCTTAAAAAAAAAAATAAGGAGAGGGCTACACAAAGAGGGAGGTCTGTATATCTACAGAGAATTATCCTTCAGTCTTTAGCTGAGTACTGATTGGCACATGCATGTGAAAAAACTACCTAAAGCATGGATTAGAGGGCACAAGAAGTGGAGTTCATACAAGACCATGATTAGTTCGTGTTCCCACCAGCCAGAATGGAAAGACTTTCTAACATAAGGGCAAGGAGTACAATCCTCACAAGGGTATAGCCTGAGTACTGGGAACAATGGAGCACTAGACTAAAGGCTGTAAATCAGTTCGCTTAACAAAGGTCAAGAGAAAAACTTTAACACATCAACTTTCCCATAAGATCAAACTGTTCTCCAGGTACTACATCTGAGTACAAAATCCAAAACTGTTTCAAGGAATTAAAACAAGAAAAATCCAGGACCCAATAACATAAAACTCACAATGTCCAGCATCCAATAAAAATTTCCAGACATGTAAATAAGCAAAAAACATGACCAATAATAAGAAGAAAAATCAATCAATAGAAATAGACCCAGAAATGACATGGATGAAAGACTTGGTAGACAAAAGTGTTAAAAACAGCTAACACCCTGAGAATCTGTTTATTTGAACCTGAGCATATAGAAAATATGCTCCATATGTTCCAGAAGGTAAAAGAAAGTATGAGCATGATAAAGCAAGAAAAGATATAAAGACCAAATCAAATTTCTAAAGATAAAAAATACTCTGGGTGGGATTAACAGCAGATAAGAGAGTATAGAACAAAAAATGAATAAATGTGAAGGCAGAGCAATAAAAAGTCTCCAAAATGAAAGACTGCAAAATTACTGAAATGAAGGAAATGAACTGACGAAGCTGTGGGACTACATCAAGTGGCCTAACGTAAGTATAACTGGAGTCTCAGAGGGAGAAGATAAAGGTGAGAAGAAAGAAAAATAATTTGAAGAAATAATGGCAAAAAGAAAAAAGAGAGAGAGAAATAATAGCTGAAAATTTTCCCAATTTTGCTAAACAAATCCTCAGGCATGAGAAATATAAAGAAAACCATACCACGGTATAACAAAATCAAATTACTGAAAACAAGTGGAAAAGAAGAAAATCTTTAAATAGCCAGAGAGAAAAGATACAGTATATGCAGAAGAATAAAGATAAGAATGACAGATTTCAATTAAGGCCAGAAAACAGCAGTATACTTGTAAAATCTGAAAGAAAAAAAAAACCCCGCTAACCTAGAATTTTCTATGCAGTGAAAATTGCTTTCAAAAACAAAGGTGAAATGAAATTCATCACCAGCAATAAAACACAAAAAACTCTAAAGGAAGTCTTTAGGTAGAAGAAATCTGGATCTATACAAAGCATGAAGATGACCAAAAATGGTAAACATGGGCCTAAATATGAAATACTTGTTAAAATTTAAAATGTCTTTAAAAGAAAATTATTTAAAGTAACAATAATAGTAAATTATAGGGTTTATAACCTAAAATCATGTAGAAGTAAAATATACAACAATATACAAAGGTTAGTAAGGAAAAATGGAAATATACTAATGTAAGATTCATATAACATAAGTGGTATAATATTATTTGGATATGAAGTATAATAAGTTAAAGATGCACACTGTAAATTCTAGACAACCACAAATAATATAACGTGCCAATATTGGAAATAACTGGAATCATAAAAAATACTCAGTCCTGTCCCATCCCCCCAAAAAAACTCAATCCTGCCCCAAAAAGGCAGGAAAAAAAGAAAAGGAGGACAAAGAAAAATGTGACAAATAAAAAACGAATAGATGATAGCTTTAAACCTAACCATATCAATAATCAAATTAATTCCAAATAAAAAAGGAGAGCTTGTTGGGTTATACAAAAAATAATAATTCATTTCAAATACAAAGACAAAGATGGGCTAAAAGTAAAAAAATGGGGAAAGATATACCACAATACACTTTTAAAAAAAAGATGGAATGGCTATATTAATATTAGACAAAGTAGAATTCAGAGCAATAACTATTACCAAAGATAAAGAGGGTCATTTCATAATATAATTATGTACCTAATAACAGAGCTTCAAAATACAAGATGCAAAAACTAATAAAAGTGAAAGGAGAAACAGATAAATTTATAATTAGAATCAGAGATTTCAATACCTCTTCCAGTAATTAATAGAACAAGTAGACAGAAAATCAATAAGACAACAGAAAACATGCACAACATTATCAACAAACTAGCCTAGTTTACCGGGCTTCGTTGGGTCTATTGACCCAATGATAGAAAAATACATTCTTCTTAAGTGACCACAAAAACCAGGCCAAATAAATTTGAAAGCATTGAAATCATAGAAAGCATGTTCTCTAACCACAGTAAAATTAATTAGATATTATTAGGAGGAAGATATCCGGAATATCCAAATAACTGAAAACTAAAAAATACATTTCTAAATAATCTCTGAGACAAAGAAGAAATCAACCAGGAAGTCAGAAAATGTTTTGAACTGAATAAAAATGAAAACATGACATATCAACATTTGAGAGATGTTAAGGCAGTGTGTAGAGGGAAATTTCAGGTGTATTCATATGTCAAATCTCATCAAATTGCATACTTTAAATACTGTATATCAATTTTACATCAATAAAAATGTTTGAAAGCATCTTGAGCATTCAACTATTCACTGTCCCTTCAACCTGTAATTTTATATTTCTTCATTCCCAACCCACTCAATAATACCTTTTAACAGAGGATGGGAAGGCTGTCTTCATGGTGTTGGCATCTATCCATGAAACACTATATTCTTTTATTTTAAGAGAGAGAATATGTGAGTAGTGGGGAGAGAGGACAGGAGGGGCAGAAGGAGAGAGAAAATCTCAAGCAGGCTCCATGCCCAGTGCATAGCCCAATGGGGGGCTCGATCTCATGACCTGAGCCGAAACCAAGAGTTGGACACTTAACTAACTGAGACACTCAGGCATCCCCATGAAATACTATTTAAAATAAGATACCTATTTTCCTCTACCAAAAAATATAGGTGGAGGTGAAAGGGTCAGGAAATAAAGCAGATACTTGGTCAACTCTAACAGGGGAGTGGAGGGAGCACTGAAGATGTTCATTTGGCATTTCCTTGTTGCTTTTTATGCTACCTGGGTACCCTTCTATGTGGAATTGCTTTGGCGCTCCCCAAGTCGATCTTTCTTTGCTAAATAATGCACTGTTCCAAGAAACTGCCTGAGTTGCCCCATGGTTTTTAGCAAAAAACATGTAATTCAGTTTGTTTTCTATTGGTGTACTTACATGCTATTCAGAAAAGAAAAAGCTAGTGTGACTCTTCTTTGCATCTGAATCACAGATATAGTTCAAGCTCTACCCTCTCCAGGCAATCAGCCTTCCCTGACCACTCTAGGACCAGCTGACATCCCTCCTCTCCGCCGGTCTTTGATCTCTGTAGAATTTTCGGTTTGTATCATGCTATTTATCATTCCAATTGCCCGTTTTCTTTATTTATATTTCATCCAGCCAAGAGATGAACAATCTGATTGAGGAGAAGGTCAGTGCTCAGGCATGAGCCAGCTTCTGACTAGCCCCTTCTCTCGGACAGAGTGGCTTTCCCATCAGCAGAGCACATCCTCCTCTCAAAGGCAGCTTGCAGTTTTCTAGCTGTTATGCCTCCAACAAAGTAGACACTTGCCACCAAGGAGAAGGGAGAAATGAGGTAGCCCCCATTTTGGCCCTGGGTCCAAGCCACATTCCTCAATCCAGCTTGGTCAGCAATATAGCTGATGATATATTTTAATCTCCACCATCAATAGGATTGGATGAAGGGTATGACTAATTAATAGCACCAACATCCAGAATGCCTTACCTTCCTTTATGTGACTGTCAAAATGTCTACCTTTCCAGGGTGCATTCTTATTCGTGGAGTCTTTCATAGTTCTCCACGTCCTGATTTATCATTTTCTAGCTTTTGCCCCGAAGTACTATTACTTCTACAATATCTATTCTGCTTGTCATTCTAGTAAGTTGTATATATCTCTTTTGACACTTAAATTATAAGCTCTTTAAAAGAAGGGGCTAGGGGCGCCTGGGTGGCTCAGTCTCTGAGCGTCTGCCTTCGGTTCAGGTCATGATCCCAGGGTCCTGGGATTGAGCCCCGCATCGGGCTCCCTGCTCCATGGGAAGCCTGCTTCTCCCTCCCCCACTCCCTCTGCTTGTGTTCCCTCTCTCGTTGTGTCTCTCTCTGTCATATAAATAAATAAAATCTTTAAATAAATAAATAAAAGAAGGGGCTATGTCAAATATTTCTTTTGTATCAATCAATTCAATTTAATTTTTATATACCTTTAATCTGGATCACCTTTGTAATTGTTTACTGCTTGTTTTTAGGCAGATTGTAAATTCCAGGAGACAGTCGCTTCTTAGTAATGCTGTATGTCTTCCACTGGCAGGGAGCCTGACACAAAATAAATTCTCCGTAAATATTTGTTGAATTGAATTACATTTTCTCTTACATGTTTATATTTACACCTAATAAATATCTGTTTGCTGACTGATTGATAGGAGGAGGGTGAGATGTGGGAGATGAACATAAAATTAAAGTGCCATTTTATTTAGTTCCAGAATAACTAAAATCAAAACATCAACAACAAATATGTACTTCTTTTGAAGATAACAGTAAAATGACGAAAATTTCTCCTGTACCCACACTTTGTCCTTTGGAGTTTTCATACCTACAAATTACTAATCTATTTAGTACACTCAGTACAAAGGGTAAAATCTAATTTGCATCATCACTGATTGCTCTTGTTTCTAAATGATCACTTTCTAACGAAAAATAGGTTTTTCAAATTGCAGATATAAGGAAGTCTTGGAAATAGAACCCAGTCAATCTAACAGAGTTCTGAAACAGTGACTCAGCAAGAGTGCAAGCTACAAGGGCAACCAGACATCCAATAGCTTTCTGCTGTGTTTTGCTATTGCAAAATGGGTCAGACATTCAAGCTCTCTGCTATCCAGAGCCAATGCCAATTGGCGCATCTCGGCCTCATAGAGGTCCCCTGACTTTCCTTCAGTATAGCACTACGGCATACATTTATTTTAGATGCTCAAATTTAGATTTATTAGCTAATTGGTTAGAAAGGGAAGGAAGAAAAATAAAGTTCAGTGAGTGCCTAATAACCTAAGTAGGTATGTATTTATTAAGTGACTACTGATTGTCCAGTCTTATACCAGGTTCTTTGGGAAAAAAATTTCTGTCCTCTAGAAGCCCTATAGTTTGAGTGATTAATACTGAAAGAGTACAGCCTATAGTATGACTGACTGATACTGAAGCCATTAGAGAACGACAGAAAGTGGAATGTAAAGAAGTATGAGAGTTTGTGGTATAGCTAATCAGATGTTGCATGGATGAGCTGAATCTTGAAGGAAAAAAAATAGGATTTAAAGTGGTAGATGAATGGGGATGCTCAGGAAAAAGGGCCAGTCTTAAAAGTTACAATCTACCTGAAAGGAGAATACTTTCTAAAGTCCATGTTGAATCTAATCTCCTCAGAGTAGGTAACAACCCATTGACAGATCTGGGTTGCAAAATCAAACCTAAGACCCTCCTGAGTGGCTTTTGAGTGCATCCCAGTTTTTTAAAAGAGCCACTAAAATTGCTGTCATCACTAAAGGCTAGGAAAAGGGCATCCCACAGCTGTGACATATCTAACAGAACATTTATTACAACCATCAGATGATTACCACTTTACTGCAGCTTCTGGAAGGTGTTAACTACCACAAACTGCATACCCTTGGGTGACTGGTCTGTATAGAACATCCATAGCTAAGCTAATTCTCCAGTGCAGTAGTTTCACATTTGTGGGAAACACAGAGTTATTCCAAGGATCCCAGTAAGTTCATATAAACACCAAACTTTGTCTGAACACTATAATGTGTTTCACATAAAGATCCCTCCATGTTCCAAATACATATGATTACTACTGTCTTTAATGTTTAAAATATATTTTAAAATGTAATTAAATTCATAGCCAGGTTCTTCATTACTATCATCTAGAACTCCTCAAGGAGCTTAAAGACAGTTACCCAACAAATGATAAGTCCTAAGGAAAGCAGCACAGAAAAGAGGTTCATCACACCGGAGCGGGGGAGGGGGGCGGGCACACAAAGATGGCAGAAAAGAATTTCCAGGGAAACGCTTGAATTAGTGCTTCTTTTTTTTTTTTTTAAGATTTTTATATATTTATTTTAGAGAGAGAGAGAGAGAGCAGGGGAAGCAGCAGAGGGAGAGAGAGAGGGAGATAATCTCCAGTAGACTTCATGCCAAGCGAAGAGCCTAAAGCAGGGCTTGATCCCACGACTCTGAGACCACGACCTGAGCTGAAACCAAGAGTCAGATGCTTAACTGACTGAGCCACCCAGGCACCCCTTGAATTAGTGTTTCTTAAAGATGAAAGGTGCCTCAAAAGTTGGAACACTGTCTGTAAGAATTTTTGCATTTTTATTTTAGTGACATTCCTAAAAAATTATATAAGCACATTCTGGATCACCTGGATGCCCACTTTATAACTGAGTGTGGTAGACAAGAATGAGAGTGGGATTTGCAATTGCGAAGTGGTCAAATGCCTGATCACCTGAGCTGAATTATATGCTAAGCCACTGAAGGGTTTAAATAAAAGCAACACAATCTGATTTATATTTTTAAGATCTCATACTTGTGACTGTGAGGGGAATGGATTATGCAGAGAGGCAAGAGTAAGAAACAGCACGTGGGGGGGTTTCAGAGTAGTCCTGACATATAAGAATGACTGTTTAGACAAGAGGTACTGAAACTGAGACTGAAGGAAGTGGATGGATTTTTAAGGACATGATTGGGGTTTTGTTTCTTTAAAAAGAAAGCATAGGTCTGAACTCAGGCCTAATGGCTAAGTAAGAGTTGACCAGCACAGGGGAAGAAAAAGAAACACACAGGGACAGCAGGTCCCAGAGGCAAGAGAGAGCATGGTTCATTCAAAGAACTGAAAGAAAATCAATTATTTGGGATTTTGACAGCGAGTGGAGAAATGCAGTAAGAGACAAGGCTGGAGGCAAGAATGGGGTCATATGTGGCCTAAGCCACATTTACAGAGCCTAAGCTTCATCTTAAAAGCAATGAGAAAATGGAATGGTTTTAAGCAGAGAAGTGACATAATCTTTTCAAGCTGTGCACTATGAGGTGTTTGAGGTATCCCCTGGATTTAGTAACAAGGAGATAGTGCCCTGGCAAACGCAGCTTTATGGGGTAAAGTGCAAGTCGAGTTGGCAGAAAGCCAATTTTGTCTCAGGCACAGAAAGAGAAAAACAACTGTGTAATTATAGTGCATTAGGCATTAACCAACTAGCAGGTGAGAAAATTAAACAGAATGAAGTCTTTTTTTTTATTCCGAGCTCCCTGGAAGTCTTTAATTCCGACAGATAATAAGATATAGATAAATAGACAAACAAATAAAATAGACAAAAAGACGTGGGGAAGGGAGGATCCACTGGATTTTGATCTTAAAAGATTTAGGGTAATTTTAAGATGGCTTAAAACCAAATTAGGCTAAGAATTGGTTGTTAACAATAAGAGATTAACAAGAAGATAATTAAGTATAATAAAATTTTTATATTCTTTTAAATCTTGCTCCAAATAATATTCCTACGTATTCTAAATTAAATATTATTTTTAGTAATAAGGATTTAGGGTTTTTTTATTTGAATTTATAATTGCAGTTTTACAGGAAAACATAACTTGTATTAGTTACATATTACTTTATGTAAGTTACGTTCTCTTGGAATCACTTATCGGCAAGACTATCCTTACTTTAACCAAACTCATAGTCATCCCTCAAGGTCTAGAGTTCACATGAAAGCTCCCTTCAGGACATCTTCCATAAAATCAAGGTTAGCTTTGTTTTTGTCCTTCTGTAGAACTGTAGGCATAATTTTATCACTTTACTAGTTTTGTGCCTCATTCGTCTTTGTATCCCCAGTGCGTAGCACAGCGCCTGATGCATATCAAGTTGAATAAACGCTTTTCGAATTGAAGAATCACTGAGATGCCTTCCAGTGTGGACCAGGTAGCCATTCCTAGGCATCAACCTCCCCCCATGGCAGCAGCCCCACGGTGCAGCACACCAGGGAGGAGGCAGTTTATGGAGAGTTCGTCTCACAAGCCTCAAAACCTGTAAAGTAACAGTAAATCCACACATACTCCAACCCCCTCCCACTTTCCCTCCACCACTCCCCCCAAAATATCTATATCCATACAACAAAAAGCCAGTTCAGACACAGTTTTGTTTTCTTTTTTAAGATTTTATTTATTTTTTGACAGAGAGAGACACAGTAAGAGAGGAAACACAAGCAAGGGGAGTGGGAGAGGGAGAAGCAGGCTCCCCACAGAGCAAGGAGCCCGATGCGGGGCTCAATCCCAGGACCCTGGGATCATGACCTGAGCCGAAGGCAGATGCTTAATGACTGAGCCACCCAGGTGCCCCCAGACACAGTTCTAATGCTTTATCTTTATTTCCTCAGAATCAAGCCAATAATACTTGTGATGAACATTACAAGAAGAAGTTTTATAAACAGAACAATTTAGTAGTGTTGTTAGATTTTTTTAATCGATTCCCAAAATAACTGTGTTGACATATTTTCTTGGCTATTGAATAAATACCAGTTTAAAATATTTTACCTCAGAAATATTTTTTCAATGATAGTCACTGTAGCCAAATCTATTGTTTATTTTAAAGTGTCTTTAACTCTTCTCCAGTTATCACAGAATAGGGCCTTTCATTTTTTTAAAAAAATGTAGAAGAGAACATTTTATGTGGGAGGTACAGAAACTTAAGGAATATTTTTTATACCTTATTTGAACTATTATTTATCCATCTATTTCATAACAATAAAAACTGAAACACGTTCCTAATTGCCTTTCTAGTTTGGGTGCATCTCAAAACAGCAGAAAATGACCTGATCACCCTTGTTAAGAAGCATGTACAGTGATGGCATGAAGGATCTGCCCAGCACACAAATTAATTAAGCACCAGACTAAAGAATTCCAGAATCAGCAGTGACTAAGGATTCCTTTACACACAAAGAGAAATGGGAACTCTGTTTCATCCTGATAAAAGCTCTGCAATCAGTGTTCTCAGTGGTCTGTAGGTCATGCTTTGCAGACTACTTTACACTCTATGAAAAGCAATAAATTGGGGGCGCCTGGGTGGCTCAGTTGGTTAAGCAACTGCCTTCAGCTCAGGTCATGATCCTGGAGTCCCGGGATCGAGTCCCGCATCGGACTCCCTGCTCAGCGGGGAGTCTGCTTCTCCCTCTGATCCTCCCCCTCTCATGCTCTCTGTCTCCCATTCTCTCTCTCAGATAAATAAATAAAAAATCTTTAAAAAAAAAAAAGCAATAAATTGAAGTGATCTATTATTGTAT